ACCTCAGAGGAAATGCAGGGAAGGGTGGGCGAGATGAGGTAAGAGATCAATCAAAGGACTTGTATCCATGCATATGAGCATGACCAATGGACACAGACACTAGTGGGGTGAAGGCATGAGCTGGGGAGCAGGAGTGGGCAGGGAGAGGTCAGTGGAGGGAAAAGGAGACATGAAAAACTTTCAACAACAAAAAAGAAAAAAAATAGAGAGAGAGAGAGAGAGAGAGAGAGAGAGAGAGAGAGATCAAAACTAAACCAAAGCTGTATAAACAATGTGACAGTACAAGTAAATGCATAAACCCTGATTCTTAACCCAACCCACAGGGTGCAAACAGAACCTTTATAGTAAATCCAACAAACCCACCACAGTGAGCTCTGGGCCACAGAGAAAGAAAAGTCAAAAACCCATTCATGAACCCACCATCCAAAAAGAGTGGCTAAACTGAGTGCTTAAACCAAAGCTGTATAAACAATGTGACAGTACAAGTAAATGCATAAACCCTGATTCTTAACCCAACCCACAGGGTGCAAACAGAACCTTTATAGTAAATCCAACAAACCCACCACAGTGAGCTCTGGGCCACAGAGAAAGAAAAGTCAAAAACCCATTCATGAACCCACCATCCAAAAAGAGTGGCTAAACTGAGTGCTGGCTGCTGAAGCAACCCTGCTTTCAAAGATGTTCTTATCTTGACGTGGATCAATTAACTGGCAACCAGGAAGCATTTCCCTCGCCCAAAAAGGTGACCTGTGCATTTTTAAGGGAGACCTCATCCTCCTTAAAGTATTAGCACATAAAAAAATCCACCGATAGGACTATAAGTTAAAGGGAATTCAACAGTAACTTTTCCAATACCTTATTATGTTGATTAACTTTAAACAATCCAAAAACTGAGCATCAAACTTCCATTATGTTTATATAAAAGTACTAAGAAGTCCTGAGTGAGCCAGCTAACTAAATCTTTTTCCCATGTCTTATGTCAAAGTGACTAACGTGGCAGAGGAGTTGGGAAAACACTGCGTACAAGTTTCTGTCTTGTGAAGTGCTCTGTGGGCTGTGAATGAAAACAGACGGCAGCAACTAGCCTGAAGTATCGAAAGAGGAGAAAACAGAACGAGTGTTACTTGGAATCTTGAAACTTTTGAGTAAATGTGAATTTTGAATCTGAAATTGGCTTTATTAATCTGGAATGCTAATTTCGAATATTTCAGCCAATGGGAAAATGTCTTTCTATAAGTAGTTCATTAATGTGATTCAGAATCTATATGATTCAGTGTGAGAGTTCAGATAGCTCAGTCAGAATATATGTGATTCAGAATATATATATAACACAAATACAGACTGAAAAAGGGTGTAATTTCTAGTGCCTACAGTTCTCAAGATTTGAAAAAGCATGACTTGGTTGAAATTTCCCTGAGATTATTTTTAATCATTGAAACGATTGGAAATGATTGGTTATTATCATAAAAATCAACACCGTATTGACTCAGTCACTAAGACCTGTACCAAAAAAGGGAAGACAAAATGCAGCTCATTATCTAGGATGTTCAACTGGACCAGATTTCAGTTTGTGTTTTCACCTATATGCATTATGAGCAATGAAGTCTTTACTACTTGGATCCTTTTTTCCAAATGAATTAATGAATTAAATTTATCCTTTCACCAGCTGCTAGGCAGCAGATGGAACCATTTCTGAAGCCTTGTTGAATTCAATCCATAAAACTCATTTCCTAGGATTAGCAGTCCAAAGTTTCTTTTAATGTTTATATACCGCTTGGGATTTTGAATTTCATGATGTTAAACTTCCAATTTAACTATTCTTTTTGCATTTCATATCAAACAATTATGATCTTTTGGATTTCTATAGCAGACATGGCAGGTCACATAAGGACAAGAATTCATTTCAAGAGCAATAGTCAGGCAAGTTACATTTTTTGATGTTTGTTCACATTGGCTTACTACCATGGCAACTATTTGCACTGTGCTTTTATGTTGTCAACCTAAAGAATTATATATTTAATAGCTTATGATTTTTGTTTATTTACTCATAAATACTTTAAAGCTGCAACTAGGAACATTTATTAACATTGTGGAAATTTACAGTTTTTTAATTTAGTTATAAGAGTAAGATTGTTACATTGCCTGCAAAAAAAACTACTGTATGCACAAGGTTAATCTATCTAATAAGAATTTAATACTGACCTTTATAAATGGTAATAAAGCCAATGACACAGATTATGCAGAGATGAATTTTATAACAGTTAACATTTTGAAGAGCATACTACCATGGACAGCTCCAAACATTTCTATTCTACTTAATGTGCACTTACAATTGTCTAATTTAAGAACAACCAGGAAACTTCACATCCTACTGGCTAATTTTATAACAGAATAGTAATGCCACTCTTTAAAAAAAAATGGTGGGGGACTCCTTTAAACATAACTGAATTAGAATCTCATAAAAGTTCCAATGTACTTTGAAATGTTTTAAATTCAACTACCTGATGCTCTCCAAGGTACGGTATATTCAGCTTTAAAGTACAAAAGCTTTTAAGCCAAAGTGATGCTGCTTCTTTAACATAAATATAACCAAAAGGAGAGTGAATCACTCTTATGTTCAACAGTGACTTCCGCTAATTTGGCACAAGGAATCTATATTAATCTAATATTGGAGTAAGCCAAGAAGGTCACATAATAATCACCACTGAGTAATTGAATATTTAGAAGAAGAAGAAAGGAGATAACTGGTAATCTTAAGTTACTCGCATAAAAGTAGAATAATAGACAGATGATATTAGCAAGGGAGAAAAAGTTAGGAAAAGCCTAATTTCAGTTTTATTTTAGATTATGAATCTGATTATTCCCTAGAACTTTATTTTTTTTTCCTAACATAAAAGTAGAATACACAATTATATTCGAGGTTTTTAATCATTTTTCCTTTAGTTCTTATGGCATAAGATGAGAGTTGGTATTACTTTTTCTGACAATAAGCCACTTTCTTTTTTAAAAAGTCAATGTTGGATAAGTTATTTTACATATTTTGCCTAATAGCTGCTTTGTTCTTTGTAAAAGCTTACTACCCCCATCTAGAAGACTATTTCTACTATTTCCACATGTATCCAAGCAAGCATGTTTAATAAATACCTTGTTAGGATGAAAGAAATATGAGGTGAAGTACTGTTTATAAAGGTGGTTGAAACATTTCTCTATTCTTAGTAATATTTTATTGATCTCATCCTTCTGCAAAATTTTGTTCAAAGTTAGTCTTTCTCATTCTCCAGTCTTTTCTAATATCACTCTTTAACTTGCTGAAAAGTCTCCTGACATCTGCATTTATCAAAAATGAACTGTATCATTTTTTAAGGAGACTGCTCTTATTCAATTCTCTAAATATTTACAGATAAGATTATAATTACAACACTTATCAATTTAATTTTTTGC